TAACACAACTTACCTTAGTCCAAAAGTTGACGGTTGCCGACATACAGGGCGTCAAAGTTACATTTTAATTTAAGTTTTTCGTTATTCTACTTTGACCGGAGCTGCATATTTTCACGAAATTTTGTATATAGGGGGTTTTGAGCATGCAAAAACCAAATGTTCCATCAGATTTTGATCAACTTGTAGAAAAAGCCACTTGCGGCGATATCTGGCCAAAAAATGGTTGTGTCTAATCGCCTATTAATTTTGCACAAAAAAGTATTCTTAGTCGATGTCCCAACAAGCCTCTGTTTCCGAGATATTTGCGATTAAACTGCAAAATGCAGAATTGTGAGGACATTTTACACTGCATGTCAAGTAGTGTGACGCAGCAGACGGATTTCCTTGGTGTCTGTGAAAGTGACACTAGTGCCACTACATACTTAAGTTTTGATTTCAATTAGTTAAAATGCCAAGGCATAATTTTTTAGTCCAGCAAACTTTTAGTGGACGCAGTGCCAAACTGCGTTACTTAGAATTGTATTCCAATAGGAGGCAACCGAATTTCAAGTTATTCGGAGACATCTACCGTCCATTAAGGGAAACTTTACGACCAAAGTTAATATCTTGGGACGTCCGAAAATTTCAGCTCCAGATCAAGAGGAAGACGTTCTGGTTCGTGTTGGAGAAAATCCAGAAATAAGCACAAGACGATTGGAAACTGCAACTGGCGTAAGCAAGTCTTCAGTTCATAGGATTTTTCAGCAAGAAAATCTCTATCCTTGCCATTTTACGCCGGTACAGAATTTATTAGAGGACGATTTTGCTAGAGCCGTTAGTAATTACCTAGACCAACATTTTACAAATCGGTGGATAGGTCGTGGAAGTTCTTGGGTTTGACCGGCGCGAAGTCCTGACTTTAACCCATTAGATTTTTGTGTTTGGGGTTATTTAAAATCATTAGTGTACGATCAAACGGTAGGCACCCGAGATGAGTTGATAAATAAAATTATGAATGCCGCCGAATGATTTCGAAATGAAAATATGTTTTTTTTTAAATTAGACGATTCCTCAATAAACGCATTTCAAAGTGTATTGAAGTTAACGGGGGACATTTTGAGCAATTGCTGTAGAAAATGAATGTTTTATTGTTAGGGATTAAGATAAAAAGATCCTATTGTTAAAGAATGATGTTTAGTAAATATTTTTTCACCTAGATACTGATTGTGGCTTATTTTTTGAAAATACTGCATTTTGCGGTGTAATCGCAAATATCTCGGAAACAGAGGCTTGTTTGGACATCGACTAAGAATACCTTTTTTGTACCAAATTAATAGGCGATTAG